CTCCTCTCCCTTTCCTTTCCTTTACTATCTTTTATTCAAATAAATTCTAAAACCTGTTGGATTGTAGGAAATGGGGGGACGTGCGCTCAGATATATATTGTGTTTCGTATTCTTAATATGTCATATTGAAATTTACACATAACATGTCTAATGCTATTATTATTATTATTTTGTTTTCTCTACACAGGCATGGATTTTTGTTTTGAGTTTGCTTGGACTCACTCCACTGGCTGAACGTCTCGGCTTTCTTACAGAGTAAGATGTTCTTGTTATTTCTTCATTTCCCTTGTTGACATGGGATCATTTGTATTGAGGGTCGAATCTGATAATTTTCTTTTTCTTATTTTTGTGATCTTTTGTTATGTGCAGGCAAATTGCCTTTTACACCGGCCCAGCAGGTAATATTCTTGGTTGAATTATTATTATTATTTTATTGTCTTCAGGTGTTTCAAGATGTTTTCAATCCATATTGGGAAAAGTGAAAAAGAAAAAAGCCGATGAAAAATTTTACCAAAATTTTTTTTTAAAAATAAATTATATGTTAAAAATATAATTTATTTTATAAATTTATTTAAATATTTTTAATAAAATTTTTTATTATTTTATTAAAATATTTAAATAAATATATAGAATAACAGCTTTTTAAATATACATAAAAAATGTGAATCCCAAAATTTTATTCCCTGTAAACTCTGAAGGCTGAAAAGATTTTAACTTTTTGTTCAGATATCGTTTTCAAGTGACTTGAGAAGCTCTTTTCCTTCCTCCCTACATGTCTGTTATATAGCAGCATCAAATTGATAAAGCCTGAAAGGATACCGCATAATTCATCATCTATATTATCATGATCCCAATTCCCTATCCATCTTGAGACAATTGTTGTTTGTCTCCTTTTGGGCAATTGGCATCTTTAGTATTGTTTTTTTTTTTTTTGCATAGCAAATTTAATTCATTAGATAGAGTACAAGGGGTGCTCTTACCCATAATACAAAATTAGGTGAGATATTGAGCATATTGACTCTGCCTAAATTTCAACAAGAGTCAATTATTTGCTCAATATAACCTATAAGTAAACATTTTGGGATTCTAACAATTCCTTCTTAACATTAAGGCTAATCCATCCATGCATTGGACAAGACTCTATTTCCTACCACAGTTAACTTTAAGACATGTCATAGGATCGTATAACCAACCAGAAAGATTAAACAAGCATCTGGATTTCCTTGTTTTAATCCACAAAAAAGATTTCAGTTGAATGTGATCGAACAGCTTACTTATATTGATGTTGAAATCTCGGAATATCTTCTGGTTTCTTGTGAGCCATACGGACCACACCACAACGTTCCAGATACAATCCCAACCTTCCTTTACACGTGCTTCCTTGGCCCATACCCCAAACTGCTCAAAAGATTTCCAGCAATCAATTTCCAAATTAACTGAAATCCTTCACCATTTCCCACAAGCCTTCCATAGCCACTCTGCTACCCTAAACAAGCATCTTTAGCATTGTTAATTTGAATTGACTTCTTAAACAATTAATTTATGTTGCTATTTTGTGGAATTAATTAATCTCTTTGGTTATTTTATTTTGAAGTGGGAGGGCTGTTGAATGCGACTTGTGGTAATGCAACTGAGCTAATCATAGCAATTTTCGCGCTGGCTCAAGGCAAAACAATCGTACTAAAGTATTCCCTTTTGGGCTCTGTACTATCAAACCTGCTTCTGGTTCTTGGGACCTCTCTTTTCTGTGGTGGAATCGCCAACCTTAGAAACGAACAAAAATATGATAGGGTAAGTTATTGATAAAATTAAAAATACTGAAGTGACGTGAAATTTCCTTTTCTCTATTTATTTCAAATATTAAGGATAGTTTAATAATTAGAAATAATTTGATTCAATTCACGTTACAATATATTTATTAAAAATTTAATATTTTTGAATTTGAATTAAGAAGAAAAAACTTAAAATTATAAATTTTAATAATCAAAGTGATAAGTATTAAGGTGAAATATTAAACTAAAAAGTATATCAATAATTCTTCTTAATAATTTTAGTTAGTGTACACTACAAATTAACATATTGGAGATGTGGATTTTCTTTGATAATTTTTTTGTGGATTATAACTAAATCTGGTGTTATAAAGTGTTAACATTCCTATGACTGATGAAATGACAGAGACAAGCGGATGTGAACACTCTTATGCTGCTGTTTGCGCTGTTGTGCCATATTCTGCCACTGTTGTTCCGGTATGCTGTGGCAACAGATGCTCTGGCAGCATATCCAACACTGCAGTTATCCAGAGCAAGTAGCATTGTAATGCTGATTGCATACCTTGTTTACCTGGTCTTTCAATTGTTCACCCACCGGCAGTTGTTTGAAGCTCAGGAGGTAGTCAATTATCTTTAATTCCAAATGGATATACACAACTCCCCATAATGGTTATAAATTCTACATTTCTCTTGATGGAATGAAAATTATATGATTAATTAACTGAGTTTGTTTTGTTTGATGTGGTGCAATTGATCAGGAAGACGGCAACGAGGATGATGTAATATCAGAAGAGTCACCAGTGATAGGATTTTGGAGTGGATTTGTTTGGCTATTTGGCATGACTGTTGTAGTATCTTTGCTGTCTGAGTATGTTGTGGACACAATTGAGGTAAAATTAGACCATTTCCATCTTAATTTGAACTTTGAAGGGTTGTTAAAAGAATCATCATTTATAAATTTTTTTTTTTATAAAATAATTGTTTTTAATGTTAAACTAACAATATGCATGTGATTATTCCAGGCTACTTCAGAATCTTGGGGTGTTTCTGTGAGCTTCATTAGCATTATCTTGCTACCTATTGTTGGAAATGCAGCCGAACATGCAGGAGCCGTCATATTTGCTTTCAAGAACAAGCTGGTGAGTATGGTACTATGAGTCTCTGGTTTAAAAGAGGGACTGTGGATAGGGAAGGACTTCAATATCAATGGACACCTCCTTATCCGACAGTGTATATTTTTCATTTTAGTATAGTCTGAATTATAAAACACTTTTTCATAGTACAATACCCTTTTCATTCTATTAGTTTAGCGAATTTGAATTGTATCTCTTTCATTAATAGAATTAAGTTGACAAAATCTGAATTTTTTTTTTTTTACCTCAAATGCACAGGATATTTCTTTAGGTGTAGCCTTGGGGTCTGCAACTCAAATTTCTATGTTTGTGGTAAGATTTTACTCTTGAAGCTTCACGGCTATCCAGAGAAAAGCAACCATCATGGTTTTGGATTTTGTTCTTTACCATCATATTTATGTGACTCAGGTACCACTAACTGTGGTTGTGGCTTGGATAATGGGTATTAAGATGGATCTTAACTTCAATCTCCTTGAGACTGGTTCTCTTGCTCTATCAATCATTGCAACAGCCTTCACTTTACAGGTATCATCGTGAATTTGGTATTCATGACTTAACTTTGATATTCTTACCAGTTTCTTGTTGTTAATTTTTAAGTAATTGATCCTTAATTTGCAAAATGTGCCGGGACTAAATTAATTGTTGATTTTGTAGGATGGTACTTCTCACTACATGAAAGGACTGGTTCTTCTACTCTGTTACATTGTTATTGGAGCTTGCTTTTTTGTTTTAAGAACCCCACAAGGTAAGAATAAAAACCGTTCATATATAACATGTTGCGGGAAAAAATCTCAATAATATTGAAAAACATGTGATTTGAATATAAAAAAGTTATTTCATTTATTATTAATTGGTTTTAAATTAGACATAATCTTTATATTAAAGTTTACTTGTCAACTTTCATATGATATCATAGGTCAAACTCTATTATTGAAAAACTTATTTTTAACTCATCTAATAAGAATTAAAGTTCATAACACTCATATGTAAGGGATATATTAAACCGTGTGATAGAATACAACATTCATATTAAGCTTACATGTAAAGTGACGTGTTGAGTGAGAAAATTTTACATTAAAAAATATATGGCTTATATACAAGGAAAATTATTTTATTTATTATTAATTAATTTTAAGTTAAATACAAGTTTTATATTGAAACTTACATGTGAATTTTTACAATGCATAAGCACTACAATACTACAATAGGTATTTCATCATCAACTCAATCTCAAATCTTAGTTAATTTGTTCTCCTTCATTTTTTCCACAGACCCACTACACTTGGGACACAATTTAGCTGAGGCAGTCTTCAGAGCCTAAAAAAGAGGTGAGTTCATTCAGATCAACTTGTGATTATTTAGACATCTTCTCAAACGTAAAATAACTGGAAATTAACAAATGTCATTGTCAAAAATGCAGTCTTCGTCCTTTTTGGTGTTATTCCTGGATGACAAATGTTGCGGAAATCTTCAATTTTCACTCATTTGTTATTCTTTAATCTTTCATTGAATCCCGGCTACCGCTCGAAAGTCAACAATCTGCGTGTCCGTAGAAGTCATGGTGCCTGCAAAGTTATTTAAATTACAAGATAGGTGCAGTGCACAATTGGAAAGCTTGGTGAAGGCAGGCTCCACAGCTTATAGCCTTGTATCATGATGTGTAAATCTCTCAGTCTGTTTCCTTTTTGAATGAGTTGTGTTTTGTTATGCTAGTTGAGTCGCTGGTTTGGCGAATGTGCTCTTGTAATGCCATACCACAATAATAAATAAAATCGTATCGTTTGGGTTTTGGTTTCTCTTTGGACTAATCTTTTGCAACTTGCATTTCCCCAATTCATTGTTGAGACCCCTTTTCCATGCATGTGCATTTAAAAACACAAAATCAATGTTAACAAGTTGTTCACGGGTGTGGTGTCGACACCAAAATTCAACACATAATTTTGGTGTCGATACCATACTGCAGGCATCAGGATTCCACCGCGGACACACAGAAGGGCTAATTGACTCATGTAATTTATGCCTTTCAAATTGACATGTTAATGGGTTTGGGTACCCTGTACTCCATTTTTTTTATTATTAATTTTTCTTTTTGCGTTTCAAAAAAAAAAAAATGTTAACAAGTTGTTCACGACGTAAGTTTACCATCATTTATAAAATAGAAAATTGCATTTATCCCTGATATGGTTTCGAGTGGATGCAATTAATTAACGCTAATTTTAGTCCTCTAATTTTTAATACTAAATTTTTAAAAATTTTAAATTATTTTTTGTAATTTTTTAAATTATAAAAATATATTATTAATTTTTTTATTAATTAATTTATTAAATCTATTTAAATATATATTTTTAATTTTTTAACTTATAATATATTTATTTTCAAAAAATTTTAAACTATTTAAAAATTAAAAATTTATATATATAAATAAATTTAACGAATTAATTAATAAAAATATGTTTTTTATAATTTAAAAATTAAAAGGACAATGGTATGTTTACCTTGCCCACCACCACCCTTACCTACAGTCATGCCTACATCCATTTGATTCAATAAATATAATATAATTTAAATAGATTTTTATAATGTTAAAAGCTTATCCTTATCTTATTTGGGTTATCTTATTTCTCCTTTCTGTGGTTCCCCACCTTCTTCCTTTCTTCTCCTTTCTTCTCCTTCTCTCTCCATTTTCCATTGCCGACAATCTCTTCCTTCTTCGATGTCGGTTCTCTTCTTGCCCCTCGATCTCCCTCGTTGACTCAAACCTTTCCTTTCCTCTCCAGTCTAGCTATTTTCCCTCCCATAAAATCCACTACCCATCTCTATTCTCAATCTAGGTTTCAACAGATCTTGGCATCCTCTCACCCTTGCCTCTCTCTTTCTCTCCGTTGCTAAGGCTCCTCTCCATTCATGCCTTCTTCCTCATCCGATTGAACCATGGAAAGTCTAATGTTCTAGATCTAGGTTTGGCAAGGCTGCACAACGGGGAACCTATTTGGGCAGCTTCGCAGTTCAACACTGTTGAAATCCTTAGCTGCTTTTACACCTGAAAATCCTGAGGTTGTTTTCTCGGGGAAAACACTCCGACGCTCAAGTCAGTAATACTCAATATCTAGAGAGAGATGCTCTCAAGGAGTAATTGCAGAGAGAGAAGCGTAGAGATTAATTACCTTCATTGTTGGTAGTTGGGGGGTATTTATAGCCCCCAATACTGACATGCATCATTACATGTAAGTAACTCATTGGCCCACGTGGTGCTGCTCACGTGGGTATGTCTCCTTCTCTTGGGCCAGTGTGTGCATAGTTGGGCCTGTTAAATGTGACCCAAAGTGGGCGTTGAGCCTAATCCCAACAGAACCCATATGGGTTCCTAAATCTGTTCTCAAATCTACTGACCCGACTTCAACTCAACAACAAATTCGTCCTTTAGATCATTGTTTTTATTTTAATAAGTTATTCATTGCTTCGAAATTGCAAGAAAATGAAGAGAAAATGAGATCTTTTTTTGTTTAAATTTAAATTTTTTTACTTCTTGTTATCTTTTTTCTTGGGAATTTTTATAGATTTCCATTTTAACTTGATTTTATTGCTTGGTTGGTTTATTGGAAGAACGAATTGTAACTGGAGAATTAGATGGTCTTCTTTCTTCCCATTTTATTCTTTTATATGTATTACTTCCTTTGTTCCCATTTCTTCATTTTCATTCTCACCTGTACCTCCCTCACAAACTACTGATTAGATCAATTGCCCACACTAGAATCACAAAAGGGGAGACAAGTAAGTAAGAGATTAAGCTAGAGAGAGTAGAGTTCAGAGAAAGAGATGAAAAAGATTGACAATTAGTAACTAGATCTGTTGCTAGATTGAAGTTGCACATGATTAAACCCTTTAGCTTAGGTGAGCTTTTATGGTTGGAGAGCATAAAAACCCAAATGCAAAGGGGGCAGAGAAAAGAAATATGGAATCAAAATGAATTAGAATGGTGAGAGGATACAGACGAGGTGAGTCTTTAGAAGAAATAAAAAGTAGTCACAGACATCTTCCTCTTATCGGTTGTAGAGTCGAATAATCTTGATTTTTCATTATGACATAGCAAAATGAGTGAGTGAGTACCCTCCCTGGTGAGGAGAAAGTATATTATATCGAGAAATACGTTTGGAAACACAAGTAAACCAATATAGTACGAATGGCAACAACTTTAAGCTGTTCCTGTCTAATTTCAAAATCGTAAAATATTAATTTGTTATTTAGTGTACGACAATGGGTGAAGAATTGGATGTGGATGAATCAGTGTTCAAATTAAAAATACACAAAAAAAAATTAAAAGATTAAAAATATTTGAAGTTAAAAATTTTAAAATTAAAATTAACATTTAAATTTAAAAAATTAATTTTTTAAAGTGTACCAATCAATCTTATCTTTTGTTGTACTTTTAAAAATATGAAATGGTAAATAAAATACACCAAATTGATGTGCTGATGTGATGAGTATATAAAATGTTATGATTTGGATATTATGCCATGTCGCTAGTGCCATCCAAGTCCCAACAAAAAAAATGGGGTAATGCTATAGGGACCGATGGGTCCCCAGTCGAACGACCGATCGGTCCCTATAGTTTTTATTTTTATTTTTTAAAATTCAAAATTTGTAATTCATTTTTTCGTGGGGTAATTTTTAATTTTTTAATTTTTTAATATTTAAAATTTTAAATATTAAACTTAAATTTTAAACATCTAAACTCTAACCCAAGATAAACACTAAATATAAAATTAAATCCTAATATCATAAAATGTATTTATTTTATTTTAGAATAATAGATCTTTTTAATGTAAAATTTATCTTGAAATAATAATTTTTTAAATATTTTAAAGAAAACAGATATTTTTTTAAAACAGATATCTTTTTACTTTAAACTTATTATTGTCTCTCAACTTTTTTTAATAAAATTTTTAACTTTAATTATTCATCATATTATAAAAAAGTTTCTTTATTGTTATTTCTTTTTTAAAAATGAAATAAGTAAAAATAAAAATTATCTCTAAATCTCTAACTTGAAAATAAAATAAAAAATATTAGTATTGAAAGACAAAAAAATGTAGAACCTTCAGAATTTAAAGTTTTAAACTCTAATATTATAAAATCTAAAATCTAAAAAATTCAAAACCGAACACTTTAAATATTAAATTTTACAAAAATCTAAATACTAAATTCTAATATTCTAAATGCTAAATTTTAAAATTTTAAACCCTAACCAAATGAGTTTAAATTAGTTTTAACTAAAAAAAGTAAAGCAAAAATAAATTTAGATAGTTAAAAATATGACTAAATAACAAATTTTTTTAGATTCATTAGACATGTCATAGCACGTGCTAAGTGAGGTCATCTTGCTAGTAAATCAAGAGAAAATTGGATCAAATCTGAATATTTAATCTAGTTATAAGTGAAATGTATTAATTTAAAATTTAATATAATCCAAACTACCTATCAAATATATATATATAATCCAAACTAAAATTATTTAGATTCAAATAGGAGAGATCATATTAAATTAAGTCAATTTGAGGTGATCTAATTAAAATTAATTATTTTTTAAATTTAAAATTATGATTAATTATATTTTTAATTTTAATTTTAAAATATAAAATTAAATTAAATATTATAAAATAGTTATTATTTATTATATTATAAAGTTAATATTAATTTAAAAGATTTTTTTCACTAAATAATTACTTAATATTAAGTTTTTTTAAAAAAATAAATTAAAAATATTGAAAATTTTTAAATTTTTTTAAAACTTAAGTTTACCTAACTCAATTCAGACCATATATAAGTGGGTCATGAATTTACTCTTTTTAATATAAAATTTAATATAATTCAATCTAATAAACTCACAATTTAGAATGATTTAATCTAAATTCACCAAACCTAACTTGTTTGTCGGGTATACCTGTTTGAGCTCTCCGTCCAGAAAAATTAACATTAAACCCTTTGTTGATCTTTTAACATCTGTACGGGCTAGTTTTTTAATCGAAAAGAAAATATCATTTTTAGTCCCTCAAGATTTAATTTTGGCAAAACCATAAGTTAAGCCCCTGAACCAACCCTAGAATCGCTATTAAGCCCCTAAACTTTAATTGATGCATATAAGCCCTTAAACTCTGGGATCAAAGCAATTAAGCCCTTCTTCTTACGCCAACTTAACTGCC